GTTCGAAGAAATCGTATTTATGGTCCGATTTGCTTAAAATTCGGTACATAGGTAGCTTTTTGCCTGGATAAGCTTATAGATTCCTGTTTTCCAATTTTCATGCAATTTCGACCAAATCAAGGGGCGAATTCGTCACTAGGCAAGATTTTTTTGCGCCAATCAGAAACAACGGATACTATCAAAATATAATTATAATATATAATATATCTCAACTAATTTATATTTAGAAAGCCGTTTGTTAGTTTTCGCAAGGCTCGAGAGCGGCTGAACCGATTTTTTTGAAACTGCCACCTGCCGCACGTGTCCCAAGGATGGTTTTAGGCTGAAAAAATTCTATATGTAAAGGGGGCGTGGCACTTCCCATACAAACCGAATTTCTCATGCTACATATCTCTGAAAGTGTGCATGGTAGAGTTTTGGAAATTGGTATGGAGATATACGAAATCAATCGCATACCCTTGGAGAAAAATTTTAGCTATAGTAAAAAGGGGTGTGACATCTCCCATACAAACCGAATTTTTCATACTGCTTATCTCTGGAAATTTTTTGGTAGAGTTCTAGAGTTTTGTATGGAGATGTACGAAATAAATCGCATACTCTTGGAGAAAAATTGGAACTATTGGAAAAAGGGGGCGTGGCATCTTCCATACAAACCGAATTTTTCATACTGCCTATCTTTGGAAGTATTCATGGTAGAGTTCTGGAACTTGGTATGGAGATATACGAAATCAATCGCATACTCATGAAGAAAGAGGTCAGCTGTTGGAAAGGGGGGCGTGGCTTACTCCCATATAAATCGAATTTTTATACTGCATATCTCTGAAAGTATTCATGGTACAGTACTGGAACTTCGTATGGAGATATGTACATAGTTGAACTCAAGCCCAAACTCATGGAGAAAATTTGGGCTATTTGAAAAGGGGTGTGAGGCCTACAAACCTACCTTTAGCTATCTTTGAATGAATTTTTTTATTCTCCTGTAGGTGTGTTTGTGAGTGAAATCCTCGTAAATGGTTGTACGGATTTTAACGAAACTTTTTGTGTGTCTTTGAGTGTGTCTCTGGATGGTTTAGTTTCACAATTTAATCCGACAGTTGGCGCTGTAGTTGAGTTATTACTAAAAATCTTATTTATGATCCGATTTGGCTAATGTTTTAAATATGTATGCAATACTATTGCAAAAACGTGCTGCCAAGTGGTGCTGAAGTCGAGCTATTACTAAAAATAGCCAAGTGAGAAAAGGGGCCGTGAAGGTCAGATTAAATCGACCTGTTGCACCATTGAGTATATCGACGGTCCTGCGTTGCAATTGGCCCAATGGATGTGATTTTCCAATACTATTATGCGTTCAAACTTTTAAGGTATTTCGTCTGAAATAAGTATATGTATACTGCATTTCTGTAGAACAATGATACTGTAAAGCTTCTAGGACATTCACTATAGAACCGGGTCATTGTTGCCGCCACGGAGTGAAGAGGAAAAAATGTATTTCGCTTTGCGAATAACCGTGCTATGAAATGCCGCACAACTGGAGAATTTCAAGAACGGATATAACACTTTCCTTAGGTTATTTAAAGCGGCAAATGACCACCAAACCTTAATCTTAGCAGACAAATGTGCCAATGAAAATCGTAAACGTGAATTGTTGGTGAAAATGTTGGACCAAAAAGTTTCAATAAAATATATAAAAATTTTGGGCGGGACGAAGTTCGCCGGGTCTGCTAGTTTTATATATATAGAAGATGTCATGTTGCTTCCCTAACTGATATTCGGGCTGAACTTGTACCAATCACTGGAAATAGTTTTTTTTTTTAATATACTCAATGTGGCTCCTAGAGGGTTAAAAACTAAATTCGGCACATCAACATTAAATCCTCTTTCTTTTGATATGAGTTTCATGAAAATCAATGGGGATGAACTACCTCAAAAGTGTACCACAAAAATCATGCTTGTTTATTAATATATAAGACTAGCAGAGCACCCAATGTAGTTCGGGGTAAACAAATCAAAATATAAAACAGTAATACAAATATTCAGTTCAGCATAATTTAAAGGAGACAAACTATTTTCTTTGTTTACATTAAGGCATCCTTAGGAGCCATACTTTTGGCTTTATCGTGCTATAACTAATATATATTGATCATCACTTGTACTACAAATTTTGTTCCATTATTAATATTAGATGGATTAAGGTAACGATCAAATTTCTAAAATAAAATTATTCTACTACGGTACATTCCGTTTAGCTGCCTATTCGATTAGCTATTTTATTTAGCTGCACTTTTCTAGTAGAATGCTTAATCCGGAAGGGGTTTTATTCATTCAGCCCTATTCTGCATTTCGATTACGTTCCCGCATTCCGCTCCCCAAGAATCGAACTTAGGTATTCTGCGTTACGATCGAATCGAAAGAGGAAGAGGAAGAGTGAAAACATCTCTCGAAATCAGCTGTTTGTCTAGGAATGTGTGAAATCGAAACAAAACAAAAGAAATATTTGCCACCAAACTATAGCAGCTTATGAAGTTAAATTTTGTAAATATTTTAAAATAACTGAATATATCTAACATCATTGTAATTTAAAAATAAAATTTCGTTTGCGCTTTATTTAAGTGGAAACATAATTATAAAAATGAAATCCATAGCCGCGGCGTTATTGCTTGAAGAGGAGAACGAGTCCCAGATTGCTGGTGCGGAAATTGAAAGGCGGAGATTTAGGGACATGTTTGATCTTTCTCAGATGAGTGAAGAGTCATAAATTCATCATGAAGTGTATTACTCATCGCTCAAATCCAGTGAAGTTATAAACGTTGTTTGAGCACTCCACAACATTTGAATTTACTACAGAGTGGAAGATGGAACGCAAATGAATTCCATTTTGAAAGCCGTCAGGAGGAAGAGAAGAACAAAGCTCCATTGCAAATTCGAATTCGACAACATACGCACCTCTTTTTAAAAAGTTAGTAAAGACGAAAACAATAATAAAAGCATCTTTTTTTATGTAACTTCACATTTTGTGTATGTACTAGCGGTACCCCGGTGTGCTTCTCTACACCAAATATTGAAAAATTAACCGTAGACCTACGTTGGGGTCGAAAAAGACCCGAAAATCTCTTTTGAGTAGATATAACTCTATGCGTAGTGGAATTAGAAGTCTGAAAGTTTTTCACTTTTAATTATTATTTGCAATGAACGAAATTACGTAAAAAGCATATTGCTAGCCGTCATTGTTTCGTCCTGAAAAAAATACTCCATAATTCTACGCTTCGGGTCGTTTTCGACCCGAACTGAATTTACCTTATATTTTACCGAAGAGCGAATAAAGATATCATTTAAAAACTGCTATTTTGTTGCAGAATTTCCCAAATGAGGATTATCTTTTTGTAATTGTTGGTAACACTAATGAGGATTATTTTTTTGTAATTGTTGGTTACACTAATTAGGTCAGCTGATTCTTTGATCAGCTGGCATTCCAAGACATTTGACAATTGTAAAACTTTTTGCAAAATCACTAATAAAGGAAAAATAAAAATGTCTCGACTTACTGCGGAACAAATTGCAGATTTTCTAAACAGTGAAAATGAACAAAGTGATGGTGGTGAATTATTTAGTGAAAGTGATACAGAATATGAACCTGAAGAAGATAATCTCAGTGCTGCACTCACCGAGTCTTCTGAAAGCGACAGTGATGAAATATCAAATGCAGAGGAATCTTCTGATTCATTGATATCAAAAGATGGGACATCTTGGAGTACAACACCCCTGATTGAAGGTAAAGAATTCGTAATAATTTTCCTGTTTGAATTGTTTACATTCTGGACTATACTTGTATATAGCTGGGAGAGCAAGGAGTTGCAACGTTTTGAGCTTGCGACCAGGAGTTACACGATATGCAAGTGCTCGTGTGGATTCAATAAAAGACGCATTTTTACTGTTCTTTCCTCCTCCAGTTGAAAATATAATTTTGAGGAACACGAACACTTATGGCAAACATATATTTGGTCAAAACCACAAGGAAGTAAATCGCGACTTGTTGCATGCTTACTTTGCAGTTTTGCTAATGGCGGGAGTGTATAAGTATGAAATGTCTAGCTATTATCCTCCGTTTCATTTTACTCATGGTTATACATATGCAATTTTTAGATCAAAAAATGAAAACGTTGAAGACCTTTTCTGTTCAACTTATGGAAGACCAATATTTCGATCTATAATGTCTAAGGAAACATTTCAAAAAATTACCAGAATAATACGGTTTGATGATCCAACTTCGCGCCGCAACAACTGTGACAACTTTGACAAATTTACACCAATACGCAACTTGTGGGATAAATGGGTGGAACTGCTGCCAATGTATTATAACCCTAGCGAGTGCGTTACGATCGATGAACAGCTTTTGGGGTTTCATGGAAGATGCAGTTTTCGCCAATACATGCCGAGCAAGCCAGAAAGGTATGGTATAAAATTTTGGATGCTTGCATGTTCAAAGTCTTGCTATGTATGGAACATGCAACCATACTTGGGCAAAATGCCGGGAAACCAACCCGAAAGGATTCAAGGACAGCGCGTTGTACTTGATCTTGTAACCGGATTGAAAGGCCACAATGTGACTATAGACAATTTTTTTAGCTCATTCGAGCTTGGCCAGAAACTTCTTGAAAAAAATTTAACAATGGTGGGGACAATGCGTAAGAACAAACGCAGTATTCCCGCAAAACTGTCGGAATGCAAAAAGGTTCCCGTTTATACTTCGAATTTCGCTTTCACGCAAAATACTACATTAGTTTCATATATTGGACGAAAGGATAAATGCCCTGTAGTGCAGAGCACAATGCACCACACTATGAGTACGGGAGATCCACCCAAAAGATTGCCGGAAATAATCGAATATTACAACAAAACCAAAGGCGGCGTTGACACCGTTGACAAAATGCTATCCACTTACAGTTGTAAACGCAAAACAAATCGCTGGCCAATGGCTGTATTTAGCAATATCGTTGATATTTCGGCCTTAAATGCTTTAATTGTTTGGATGAGTGTAAACAAAGATTGGGTGGATTCTCAAAATAAGGGCCGACGTAAAATTTTTTTACTCGAACTGGGACTCAGCTTGGCAAAGCCATATATGGAACACAGGAAGAATTATACTGGAGAAATCCCCTCAAGGGGCTCGGGTAACCTGGTAATGGATAATGCAGACTCCCAGCCGAGTGGCTCACAGCCGCAACACCCGGTGCCACCAAAAAAAGGGCACGGTGTCACTATTGTGTGTCAGAAAAAAAACATCATTCCGAAAATAAGACAGAATTGACATGTGTCATGTGTAAAAAAAATGTTTGTAAACGTAATCATAACAGAAATATTTGCATTGAATGTCTTGATAATCGTAAGAATGTGTAAAATTAAGCTTATAATCCTTTAAATATTTACTTTAATTCATTATATCAACATAAAATATATTCGGGTCGAAAACGACCCCCAACGTAGAATTCTGAAGTTTTTTTTCCGTAGGTCTACCAAATGAAATTCACAATCGACAGTAAATGAGCACTTGGAAAAACTTCATTCGAAGCCAAAGAATACAACACAGCCACAATTTTCCACAATGGTTTTGTTCACTATAAATCAATGAGGAGAAATACCTGCATGGAAAATTTCCAGTGTACTCAAACTTTTCGTACGAAACGCTGGAACAAATTTGTGCAAAAATATTGAAATTGACGAAAAAAAATAAAATGAAATATGAATTAAGAACTATATATATAAAACTTGCAGCCATGTTTATACTTGACTTAATTTATCCGAAGAAAAAATAAACACAGCACATTATAGCAACAATTTTTCACTATGTTTTCGATTTTTCATGTATGTGCTGTTGTACCATATACGTGGTTCATGTGACAGACATAAACTGTCATATATCATGAACCGCTGGACCGACTTCAGGCCCACTTCACATAACCCATCTGCATGATAGTCCGAATATACCGTTTAAATTTGGTAGAATTCGTGCACTTATTTTTTTATTTAAGATGGGAGGTGCCACGCCCCCCTTTCCCAAAACCGCACATTTTTCTCCATGAGTATGGAATTATTTCCATAATTTCCAATTTCCAGTAATCTACCACAAATATTTCAAGAGATATACAACATACAAATTTTAGTTAGTATGGGAGGTGCCACACCCCCTTTTACGAATTCAGGCAAACTTCACATAAACCATCTGCATGATGGCCTGAATATGCCGTAAAATTTTGGTTGAATTCGGTGAAGCCGTTCTCAAGTTATAAGCTCACACCAAAAACGTGTACTTATTTTTATACATAAGAATACATATGCCACGCCCCCTTTTCCAAATTTGGGCAAACTCCACATAAAATATCTGCATGATGGCCCGAATAAGCTATATCAATTTCGTTGAATTCGGTGAAGCCGTTCTCAAGTTATAAGCTAACTCATTAATTTTTATACCCGAGCGCACTTGTGCACAAGGGTATTATAACTTTGTT